TTGATGAAAGATTGCATTTCTATGCTTCAGCCATCTAGCATTTGTAACTAAAGCTTAGTTATCATGGCACAAACAGACGCACACATGAATGTCAGTACTTTGCAGATTTATGCAGAAAAAATGTATGAGGAGATTATGCCTCGGCGGACACGTTGCTCACTTCCCTGACAACTGGTAGACGTTGTTCATTAGTAAAACATATGAGATGAAAATCCATCATTCGAAAAGGTGACGCAGTTGCACTGAACAGGCGGTAGATGCCAACTAGATCTATGCAGCCCGGAATTAAGAGACGTGGCACAGTTATGCCGACGTGTAGAAGTATCCCAGTAATATTACTAACGTAGAATATCCACTCTGATAGACAGATCTTGGTGTTACCGGTATGGAGAGATTAATAACTCTTACCTTCCTTGTTATGAACATTTTTAAGATGTATAGCGAGTGTGCCTTTTGCCGAGAAGTACTGGTTGCAGTCCGAGCACTGATAAATTTTCACTTCAGGATGATCAGCTACCAAGTGCACGAAGTAATGTTGCTCCAGGAAGTGTTGGTTTGGAAAGTTTTGACCACAGTTAAGCCAATAACATCGATTTTCACCTTCTTGTTTGTGGATTTTTAGGTGCAGCTGGAAGTTTTGTAGTGAACTTGTTTTCCATCCACATACACTGAAGCCACAGCGATATAGCGCTGCACACGACTGTTCCGATGTTTTTGAATTGCATCCAGACATTCCAGTGCTCCGATCTGATGCAGGGACAGTATCCTTCGTATCCAACTTGGCATATGAAGCAGGCGTGTTCACGTTGAGCGGATGGGCAGAAATTTGCCCTGCAGTGACATTCAGCACAATTTCTGAGGATTCTGCTACCTGATTTAAAAGTGAGCTGGAGTAGGTCGAGTCAATCTGAGAGGAATAGGGATTATTCATGCAAATAAACTGGTTCTCTAACTGGCAAATCCCCGAAAATAGCGAATTTTGCGTATTACTGGAACTTGGTCTATTGAAATATTCAAGTTCGAATTCCTGTGCTGCCTGGACATTTGGAATATTAGCGGCATGCAAGTTGTTGTAAGTCCGCTCGCACCCATCCGGTATTTCGAAATCCACTTTATCAAATAAAAATGTTGGATCCGAAAAATCACAACTGATACGAGACTGCATATCATCTTCTTGCTGCTGGATTGCACCGAACAGAAGATTCGACCTTTCGAAGTCCATTTCGTTTGACGAGGAGTCAAACAGTTCTGATAGGTCATTAGAAAATTTTGAAGATCTGTCGAGAGGTAAACAGCTACTTTGCTGGAAATATGAAGAGGGTCCGGGAACTGTTTCATTT